TATGGGATTTGTGACGTGCTGTCTGCACAGAGAATCTGAGGTCCCTCTGTGACCCTAAACATTAGGGTTCAGAAACCAAATGACACACTAAGAGCAGACACCAGTTTCAGAATATTGGGGTGGGGATGCCAGCAGGAAAGAGAGTAAGTGGAGCTGTGTCAGTGGGCATCACCTGTCACTGCAGGATTTAGGACAGAGTCCAGGTAGCAAACAGCTGCTGAGTGACAGATAAGGGGGACTCGATTTAGCCCAAACAAAAAATTCTGCATCAGACTTGAACAAATGAAGAAACTAAATGGTACAGAATTCAGGATTATCTAAGTGGGAAAAAGGAAAGCACATACATCAAAATATCCTTATGGTGTTAGCAGGAAGCTGTGTATTATCTTCCTAGGGAATAGTATGATGAGCAGTAATGTCTTGAGATGGCATTGACCCTCAAAGAGGAGATGTTATTCCAGAAAATTCATAGAAGACATTGCTTTTACAGGAATAGCCATTGGTAAATGGAAAGAGACCTAGAAGATTTTCAAATTTTCCTAATAAAGAATGTTCTTTAAATCCCACCATCTCTGCATTTCAGTGTAACTGAGATGGAAGAGACCTGTTCAAAGCACTCCAAGCACACTCTCTAGGAGAGTGCACAATTTATAAAGGTCCTGTGAGTAAAATAAAGCTCTTGCTGCTGTAATGTGCAGGCTTTGATGGCATTCACAGATCCAGGCTCTGCACCACAGGCTCATACATTCCATTACTGCTGTACATTTTTTTGCTAGACTCCTTCTGCTTTAGTCATGTAAAACCCAATACCCCATTGGCCACAGCCAGTGCCAAAATGATGCTATATCTAGTGCTATGAGCAAGCAGATGTGGAGGCACCCAGGTGGAACTGGAATTCATAGCCTCTACAGAAGGAATCCACAGCAGACTTGGAACAGAGATACCTGCTTTCTGCAAAGACAGTGGGGATTTATTTTAATGACCTGGCTTAGCTGATGATATGAAGACTTTAAGACTCCTCAGACTGTTAGTGTTGGGAGTGTTGGCATGAGAAATGTCACTGATTCAGAACATGAGCATTTTTAGAGAGGAAGTTTGGTGCAGTTAATCATGGTTTGGATCCTCTTGAGAAGCATCACTGATGTGTCAGCCATAGTATCTACCCCCTGACACCCTCATTGCCTGACCACAAACATATGCCTCACCATGATCTACAAGAAAGTAAATTTCTGAGTTGTCTGCTAGTGATAATTTCTTCAAAACTCCCAGCTTACCTTGCTCTGACAAAAAAGCCATAAAGTGATAATAGAAAGGCATGTTCAAAAGGATAGTCCTGTTAGCGACAGCATCTTATCAAATTTCAGGTGTAAATAATTGCATGTTCTTCCATGAACTACCTGTGCAGTTCCAGTTAGACACTGTACCACAGCATCCTCTCTCAAGACCTGAGGAATTACAGTATCTCCTGAAGACAAGCCTCCTCTTTTGTTCATAAACAGGATCTATTTCAAGAGTACATGAACTATTTCCATGAAAATGCTGTGTCCTGGTCTTGAGTTATAATGGCTTTGGGATCCTCATTAGGATGTAGAGGCGCATGAATAAAAGAGTAGGATGAAGTGCCATGCTAGTCACAACTCAGAAGTGACTTGAATGCAAGAATCCACACAAGGTGAGATTTGTTGATGGGCAGATGGACCAGTAAGGCTGCAATGGCCAGCAGGTCTGCCCAGATCATGTGCCACAGCAGGCACAAGCATTCACTCACCACTGCCAGACCTAGGCACATCCAGCTCTGGGAGTACCAGTGCACAATTGCATTTGGAGTTTCATAGAATTACAGAATGGCTTGGGTTGGAAAAGACCTTTAAGTTCATCTCATTCCCACCCCTGCCATGGGCAGGGACATCTTCCACTATCCCAGGTTGCTCCAAGTCCCATCCAGCCTGGCCTGGGATACTTCTGGGATGGGACAGCCACAGCTTTCCTGGGCAAAGTGTGCCAGGCCTCACCATCCTCACATGGAAGAATTTTTTCCCAGTATCCCATCAAACCTTGTCCTCTGGCAGTGGGAAGCCATTCCCCCTTGTCCTGTCCCTCCAGGCCCTTACTCAAAGTCCCTCCCAAGCTCCCTTAAGGGAGTAAAAGGGGCTCTGAGCTCTCCCTAGAGCCTTCTCCAGCCTGAACTAATCTTGCTTACCTCAGGTCCTACTGACTAGGAGGAACTTCATTTTCCCACTCGTGGGTACTGTTCCCATTGGCAAAGGCCACCCATCTGCTTTTCCAGTGCCCAGCATCACATCCCAGAGCTCACAGACAAAATGGCCATCAGTCTTGCTCAGAGCTTCATTTGGACTCACTGAACATGGTTTCAGAGGGTAACATTCTTATGGACTCTAACTAGAGGACTTGTTTGACCTCTGAACACATTATCATCCTGTTCACAGTGAGCATCTGCTGGATAAATGATTACATTTTTATAAATCTGTGTATACTCATAAATATATTGTCATATAAATACTAACCCAGCAGGGGTCCAGCAGTCCATATTCTGAAATGAAAAGTGATTTTTAAGTACCTCATATCCTAATTGTTTCATGAAGTATTGAACACACCTGGTAGGTAAGAGACTGTGTGTCCGTCTTTGTTCTTCAGACCCTTTGGATGTCTCAAGGTACAGATCCCAAAAAAACTGGTATCTTTCATGGCTTGAAGGCAGCACTCTGCAGAGGGATTGAGTAGCAGTATTCAGCACTTGTAATTCTAGACTCACCATGATTTATGATTATGGACTGCTGAGGCATGCAGGGTTAGCACTTCTGACCAAGGCTCTGCTCTGAGTTCTTCTCTGCTCACTGCTTTGCTGTACAGAGGGTTGTGCTGGGTCGTGGTGCTGCTGTGGCTCTGTGTGCTGGGGACCCTCTGGTGAGGACACAGATGGGTCCTCTTGAGTGGGAGGACTTGGGTCACACCTCTGTAACTAAAAGAGTCACAGTGAACACAAGGGAAATAAAAGGCAAACAACACATGAGCACCTTCCCTTGCTCCAGGGGTCTTAGATGGTTTTGTTCCACCTATTGCACACACTGAAACAAGCAGACTGTTGCTTGTAGAAAGCCCAATCCCAATCTTTTGGAAGTCAGTGGGAGTTTTCATTCGCATCAGTGGGCTTCGGATCAGCCCTAGAAAAACTGGCTTTATAACTATAGACATTGCAGATCAAGCACTGTTTTAAGTTGGTGTCAGTTATGCCATGCAAGGATCTACTGGACAACCACCTGCTTGTAGGCGTACAGGGGTCCCCTGGGGCTCTGAGATGGCCGGAGTTTCCTGGCAAGATTGTAACTCCAGGGCCCCAGTACCTTGTGTAAGTATGTCCTCTGATACGCTGTGGCAACCTGGCTACTGTAACAGAGACTCTTTACAAGGCATCCTTTTGCCAGCAGCTGGATTGTACACTGCCTAGTGAGAATGGAGCAGGTGGACTCCAGCGGGTAAGCAAGAAAACTATCAGCAAGTCACTGTGTTTGTTTTAAAATTGTTCACATTTATGTCTGCAAAGGTATTTATAAGCATGTTCATCATAACCGTGCTGACTACAGCTTTAGAAAAGTCTGGCAAGAAAGAGCTGATGGACAGCATTTCAGTAAGACAAGGGAACAGCCTTAAGTGCTCCAAGAATGCATTATAGTACAGAACAGCAAACAGGATCTGTACTCCCAAGGCTTGAAAGCAAGAATGATGGAGTGGAATTTTTTTTGGCCTTCGTAACACAGGACAGAATAGATCATCTTAAGGGTGTTTTTTTTTTCCCAGCCCTGAAATCTACACAACTGTCCTGAGCTGATTCCAAAGCCGTGGTGCACCGAAGAACACTTTCTCCCTGTTTCGACTGAAATACTATGAATTACTTTAACCACTGTTTTCCATGTAAAGAGCAGCTGCAATTTCGCTGAAGGAGACCCGGGTCCCCCGCGCCGAGATCTCCCCGCGAGGCCGCCCTGAACCGGGGCCCGGGCGGGCAGGGCAGGGCCGGGAGCGGAGCGGAGCGGGTCAGTGCCGGGAGTGGAGCGG